AGCGATCCCACCGCCTGGATGATGGGATCGAGCCGGCATCGAGCTGCGCCCGGGCGGACCACTCACCGCGGGGCTGAACTCTGGCTCGCCCTCGCCCTCGCTGCCTTCCTCCGTCTCCAGGTCCAGGTCAAACACCGCCGCCATGCCTGCGCCGGCCCCGAGGGCCCCCAGGCGCTTACCTAGCAGCGCTCTGACTGACAGGCCGGCCCGGGCCTTCCGTCATCACTCCGCGACTGCGGTTTCGCGCACCGATGACGCAAGAGACTGCCCCTCCCGCGAGCTGGCGGCGAGAAAAGTTGGCGTCCGTCACAAGGCATCTCGGGAATGGTAGTTCCTGAGTGCCGGGGTGCTAAAGCCCGCCGAACCTTCTTCCGCGGGCCCCTCAGTCTTCCCAGCACAGCTTCCTCCGGGGCGGCACAGGACAAGGGCCTCCTGGAAGCCGACCATTTTGGTTCTGGGGCGACTTTGACTTTGGACAGGGCAGAGTCGAAGTGCATGCAGGTGTGAGTGTAAATGCAATTCCCAGCCCTGTTGGAGCCCTACGGTGCCAGGTTGTCTGGGTGGTGGCGAGAGGCGGGTCGAGTATGTCTCTCTGTTCGCCTCTGAAAGGGAGCCGGCTGCTGCATCACGGTCTCTAACGTGCCTCCCGCTCGAGGACCCTCAAGTCAGTATTTACTGCTCCGTGCTCAGCTCGCTGCTGGGCTTTGTTGCCAGATTCCTGTCGGAAAGGGTTTGGGTCTCACTGAGCCACCCGTAATTATGGGCTTGTGCTGTGCGTCAGACACACGAACTTGTGTTTGGTGACACTACAATAATGAACACACCAAACCTAGTCCGCGAGTTTAGATTTGGGGATGGATTCTTGTCGGATGGGACTCTGGGAGTGTGAACTGGGCCAGACCAGGCCTTGGATGAGTTCTGATTTTTGGAAGCTGTCTGGGTGTGCATTCCAGTTGGACAAGGGAGGCTAGATATGAGCTCAGATGGACAGAATTCAGGGTCTCCAGGCTGGAGGAGGGTTATCTGGTTGGGTGTGGCCCTCGTTGTAATTCCACCCTCGGGTTTGGGTCCTGGTGTAGGTGCCCCTGGCAGGCCCCTCGCCAAAGGTCAACCCAGAGGCCTGGTCAGTGTGGCGGTTTATCCTTAGCTCTAGACGCTACGGGTATCCCCTAACTACCTCTCCCTCCCCCTTCCCCATCCCCTGTCTACCTGAGCTTGAGAAGTGTTGGCCAAGTCGCAAGAACCTATCCCAGACTCTGGACGTTTCACTAGTCCATAAGCCTTTATTTGGAGAGGGACGCTTATGGAGCTGTCCACAGCTCCTGTGCAGCACAGAGGCAGAGTTCTTAAAGCAGCCTCCCCTGAATGAGGAAGGGAGTGTAGGGTCTCCTCTGCCAATGCTAGTTAGGTGTGCCTGAGGCCAAAGCACCAAAGCTTGGTGGATAAGGTGCGTAGTGCACGGGAGGGGTGTTCACATGTCTCAGGGCCACATATAGGAGGTGAGTGGGGCCTGGAAGCTGAGTGGGCAGGTACAACTTAGTAAAATCAGAAACCTGGACCTTGCATCTTGTCCCTCGACTCTTCATCCACTGTGGTATGACATCGAGGCAGTGGCTTTTCCTCTCTGAGCCTGTTTCCTCTTCTGTAGAATGGGGCAATAGTGTCTGCCTGGAGGGGAGATGGTTACTACTGACCCCAGGTCACCTGCTTCTACTGCTCAGGCCAAATGAGGCAGGTGGAGCACTGCCAAACATTGTCAGCAGGCTCCAGAACTATCTAGAATTTGTTAAATGAGGGGGTGAGAGTAGGAGGACGAGGGGTTTAGTCTCAGATTTTCTTGGGATTTGTCCAGAGCCAGAGGCCAGGTTCTCTCCTGTGGGCAGCAGGAAGAGACAGACCTGGAGGGGTGGGAAGGATGGGCTGGGTTTGGGCCCACTCGAACTAACCTGGGGGCAGGGTGTGTGTGTGTGTGTGTGTGTGTGTGTGTGTGTGTGTGTGTGTGTGTGTGTGTGTGTGTGTGTGTGTGTGTATTTGCAGCTGTTGTTGCTTCTCCATGACTAGAGTCCTGGGAAGCTACAAGCTGGACTGGGGCCGTCGGGAGGGCAAGCAGCCCACCAGCTACTTCTTTCGTGGCCCCTCAAGTCCAGGAGGCCGTGGTGTCAAAATAGCCCTGCCGCTGTGGAACAGACCTGGGGCCTTGGAGGGGACCAGACCTCTCCAATGGTTGGGGCAGGGCCATGGGAAGAGAAGCAGGGAGAGCACCAGGGAGCAGAGGGCGCCACCGCATCCCCTCCAGCACTTTGCCCCTGCCCTCTGGCCCCAGCACTATTTGAAGTGGGACAAGAAGTAGGCAACGGGATAGTGGGGCCCGTCGATGCCCAGGCCCTGGCAGAGGCCCAAGAGGCGGAGACGGGCCTCGGCTGGGCTGGGCCCAGCACAGGCCACACTGCAGTAGGGCTCCTCGTATTCTCCAGGCACAAGGGTCTCCTCCAGCAGATTGAGACGCAGCAGGCCCTGGTCGTGAAGAGCCTGCAGGGTCTCGCGGCTGGCGGTGGAACTCAGCGCCTGCAGGTGCTGGGACACCAGGCACATGACACCCACCAGGTGGCCACGGGCGCGTGGGTGGGCAGGCAAGGCAGGCCGCAGGCCGCAGGCCACCATAGCAGCAGCGAGCAGCAGGTCCACACCATAAAGCTCCAGGATCCAGTCTCGCAGGTAGAAGCCACCCATGCGGGGGTTGATCTCGATGAGCCGCGGCCCAGCCCTAGTCAGCTTGAGCTCCACGTTGAAGACCCCATCCAGCAGCCCGCAGCCCAGGCAACAGCGGAAGGCTGCCTGCACCAGCTGCGCCTCCTGCTCCGGTGCCAGCCCAGTGGGCATGCAGGCCGCCGTCTCAGTGAAGCCAGGCAGCCGTGTGGGGCCATTGTCGGAGACAAAGGCAGCCAGCAGTCTCCCCCCAAACAACACCAGATCCACGTCGTGCTCGGTGCCCTCGATGAACTCCATCAGCAGCATGGCATTGCCCCAGCCCAGCCCGATGCCGGGGTGGTCGGCCTCACCCTGCAGGTCTCGGGCGATCCGGGAAAAGTGTTCATGGCACTGCGACGCGTCCTCCACCAGCCGTACACCCACTGCACCCGCCCCAAACTCCAGCTTCATGACACCTGGCAGGGGCACCTGGCGGACAGCCCTGTCCACGTCGGCCTCGCTCTCCAATGGGCAGCAGGGCACAGCATAGAGGGAGGGTGCAGGCCAGGGTGGGCCATGGCGGCACAACAAGTGCAGCTGGGTGCGGCTCTTCTGCTTAGCCAGGTGCATGGCGGCTGGCGGGTTGCAGGGCAGACCCAGCTCCTGGCAGAGCAAGGCCGTGAGCACCAGGCAGTCATCCCAGTAGGAAAAGCAGCCGTCTAGCTGCAGGCCACGTGCCCGCACCAGCTCCGCCAGCACCCGTGCATTCTCCTCATCCCTCCGGTGCTCTGTTATATCGAAGTGGATGAAGGTCTGCACCAGCTGGGACGCAAAGTGGTTGGGGTCTGACTCCACCAGGTGCAGCTGCAGAAACCACAGGGCGGCAACACACCGAGATCAGCTTGTGCTGGGCGCTGGGCAATAGGATGGGGCCTAGAACATGGTCCTGGCCCTCAGGGGAGACAGCTTCACCAGTGCTATGCGCTCAAAACATATTTGTTGATGATTGAGTAGAAGGTACAGAGGTGGGACACCTAATCCAGCCGAGAGGGTAGGGAAGGCAACCTAGAGGAGGCAGTGCTTAACCTGGGAGCTCAGTAAGGTTTAGCCAGAGGAAAGATGGCTGCAGGAGGCGGGGCGGGTGTCATCTAGATGGGAGGGGTGGCAGAGAGGGCTGGTGGAATCTTTCCCACTGGCAGGCTCAGTCTGGCCAGGGTTTGTAGGGAACCACCAGGGTTCGTAGGGAAACCACCAGGGTTAGGGCTTGGGACTGCTGGTCTGGTGTCCCGAGTGGCCTTTTACTCCTAGCAGGGACAAAATTCAGCTAGGGGCGGGAAAAAGTTGAGACTCTTAACCTGGACAGGGCGACAGGCCCCGCCCCTACGCTTGGGCTCCATGCCCCCGGCTAGATCGCCTCGCGCAGGCCCCGCCCCAAGGCCAACACCGCCCCTGGCCCCGCCCCGGGCCCTGCCTCCACCACTCAGGCCGGAACTTTGAGCCCCGCCCCGCCCACCTTGAGCCCGTAGTCGCGCGCCGCCTCCCACACGAACTTCTTGCTGACACCTCCCGCGCCGAGCAGCAGTAGCTGTTTTCCCTCCATGAGGCAGCGCGCCGAGCGCCGCAGCATCGTCTCCACCAGCGGCGCGGCCGCCGCTT